AATTACTTTATAGGTTCAAAATGATTCCAAATGCAGAAAGACTGTTGCTTTGAAGGTCCTTGGAATAATTGTAATGTTTTGATAACTATAATATGTGGTGTTGCTCTAAATTTTGGTCACTTGCTGTCACTAAGGTCGCAAAGTAAATTCGCTAAGTAGGGTCGCTAAGACAAATGAAAACAGTACTAAATCGGCCCCGTATTATGCAGCTAAGTATAGCTAAGTCCACAGCTTGAAGATCCCCAAATTATCCCAAATTCATTAATATTCATGAAGAAGTTTAGCAAAACTCATCAAACTGGGTGACATTTGGATCATTTGGCGTCTTGACTCACATCTAATCATTCCAGCTGCCCCTAACCGAGGCTATATGCTCCCTTGCTGGTAGATGGTTGGGTGCCCAGGGGCACGTCCTGCCCAACAGTGATGGTGTTCAACGTTGGGGAGCACCCCGACCTGTTGGTTTTCCTGGTTTCTGTTGAGATTCAACCCGTTTGGACCCTGAAAGCTATGGGATTGGGACGGGCCTTGCAGGTCTCACTGACCATGTCTTGGTGTGCGACGCTGATGTGGTCACTGGACTCAGATTTTTTACGATTTTGCAAAATGTTCAGCAATTGCTCAAGATTATTGACCCACAAAGTCTAGAAGTGGCAAATCACCAAACTTCATTTGCCCATAGTTTTGAGCTGTATTCATAATATCAGACAACATAATGATTGTCGTGTAAATCTAGCTGTCAACGGATAGAAGTTGACGGATTCAAACATGTCATTTTTTTCTGCAGAGCTTGGCTCCAAAGGTTTGGCTCCAGCCAGTTGAGTTTCTGTCATCCACAGCCTCGCACCTAGTGTGGTGCCATGGGCAGAAAGCCAAGAAACCCTTTGTTAAGTTGGCCTTAAAAGAACATAAAAGAACCCGATCAAAAGAAGGCACCGGGGTGAATGCTTCATGATTACGGTTTGTGGAGGAAGACTTTTGTTATCTTTTGTTGCAAGGGATGCTCTGTTTATGCTCCCGCGCGTGCGCTGTCAAATCCCTCTTCTGGTGGAACAGGGCTTTTGCAAAGATTTCATCAAAGCGACATCACCACTCTGTCCTTTAGCTTTCTTCACTGCCAACATTGCACACGGTTTTTTAACGCCCTTTGCGAACCAAATGCAATCTTCATAGCACTGGTGATAGTTTTCAAAGTTGTGTCAAAATGGGAAGACATACATGTACCTAGCGCATCAAGAACCCACAAATTTGTAGGTTTTTTTTTCAAAAACCCGGTTTTTTCTTCAGTTATGAAAAAAAACGTTTTTTCTCAGAAAATATGTTTTTTTTTCCTTTACTAGGGAAAAAACATACTTTTTCTCACACTTGGTGTCATGACATCTCATGATTCGTTCCCTTAGACGATTCAAACACCTTTATTGATACCAGCCTTGGATCTATCCCTCTCAGTACCATTCATGTTGATTATGCTTCCACCCTGCTGGCTTTGGCTGGCAGTTCTCACAAGGGCCCGATGCTCTTGGAAAATGTCGGACAACATTAAGTGTGATCACAGTCAATCTGGAGTCGTTGGATGATTTTTTCCCAAGAACCACCCCTAGAAGCATAAATTGAAACATGGCTGGATTTTTTTCATTGGGAAAAAATGATTCTGGATTGTCAAAGTCCAACAAACAGTCGAACAAAAGTATCGAACAAAATTAACAAAATCATGAAAAATCAATCGGAATTTTCAGTTTTTAATCATTTCGGATGAAAATTTTAGGGTCTGTACCCAAAAAATGCCAAAAACCCATATTTTAATCCGTACTAAGCCTTACTAAACCCATATTTAACCCGTACTAAACCCATACTCTGATATAGTAAAAAAAACCCGGTTTTTTGGAACCCATATTTAAACCATATTTAACCCATATTTAACCCATACTAACCCATACTAACCCGTACTCAAAATGTGGCTTTTTTGCCTCTGCGAATTGACGGCGCGACGTCGAGTTTTAAGGCTCCGCTTGTGGTTTTGCAAGATCGAACCGGTAATTGCCCGATCCAGACAAAAAGAAAACAACACAGATTACCGTAGCTATTGTCAATTTATTGGGTTCATATCTGAAAAGCTGACTTTTGAAATGCCATGCATGTCCATTGTGACTTTTTGACTACCTCCAGTCCCGCTGAAGGGAAAGTTCGCAGCACAGGAGGCAACTGCGGCTGGTGGAGAATGCGCGCATCGTGTCTGATAACGCTTGCTTCGGTTTCGATCGCGCGTTCTGTCTGACAGATTTCACAAGTTGTCAGTATGAAATTGCTACATGTAATGAGGAGAAATTTGATACAGGTCCACCCGATTTGGTCAAATTTGTGCAAATCCAACAAAAACCAAAATATGGGTTCTTTACAAAAACCCGGTTTTTCTCGAAAAAACTAGGTTTTTTTCACTGGACCTACAATTTTTTGGGTCTTTGAAGTTCCTGGTACATATATATATATGTATAAATAAATATGGCATATCTAAACCACCTGTCCACTTGTTTATTGCAGCATGTTTTGGAGTCGTGTTTTCGAGGGCGCCTTCCTCTGCACCTTTGACACGGACAGTTGTCCACCGATCCGAAGTGCAGTCGATTTGCATCGCTGGAAGCTCAAGAGGAAGTTCAACAGATGTTTGTTGGGAGAATCAGAGTTGGGTGGGACTATTCAGGGAAATTTATGTAATGGACCTTAATGGAACTATATAAATTATATATGTCCGATAAATATTCGCCCAAACATGGAAATCTTCAGAGATAATCCATTGGAAATATATATGGACACTATGGACATTCAGGGATGGTGGGATGGTGACTATACCTAGGTTACGATAGCTTTGTTCCCAGCATGCTTCCGGGCCTGGAAAAAGCCAGGCAGGCTGAGCTGGTTGAGTTTCTGGTGTTTCTTGTTTTTTCTCGCAAAGGAGGCAACAAATTAATAGATATTAATACAAAGAGAACAAAAATCACAGATTTTAAGAAACAGGTGCAGGACATTTGGCGCTTTCTTGTGACCTTGCTGATTTCTCGGTACGTTTTTTTCTTCCGGTGGTGAGGCCCGGCAAAGAGACGGCAGTTTGCCATCACATGGTGTTTCAGCAAGCCATCCTCAAGCAGCTCATGTCAGAGGTGCTTTGGTCATCCCATGTCATCCCATTGGTATTGGATCTACGTGAGCCACGTTGCTTTTGTTTGAACAGGTTGAATCTTCTTGGCAGTGTCCCTTCTGGAAAGCTTTCGCAGCAGCTGCAGGGATGCCAAAACAGCAAGCTGGGGTTGATTTTGCACCACTAGTTACAGATATTGGGTCAATAATGGTGTTTGTCGATGGGGGTATATCACAGCCAAGTGTTTAGAGTTCTTGCAGATTGTCAAACATAGAAAAGCGCAAAGCTCTTGTGTAGCAGGCGATCCAGATTTTCAAAGAGCTTATGGTCGGTTTATTGTTCTGGGGCAATAAAACCTTCCAGTCGGAGGCCCAGCAGTTGAATGGCCGAGCATCGGAGTATGAACTCTATGGCGCCACTTGGCTGCAAGTTGATGGAACCCACAAATTGCTAAGGGTTGCAGATGGCTTCGAATTACATAAGGTCTGAACTCCCAGGCATAGTGCGCATGAGTATAGTAGTCTTCACTATCCCCTTTGGCCCACCGGCATTTGCCAGCTTTTGCCCATTGAAATAGGACCAGTGCTGGACTCCCGGACAGTGAGATGTTAGCGTTGATTATTTACCCTGACTATACTTCCTAGATTCCAAATGATTATCATTCTTGGAACCCAAGTCAGCCATGTCTAGTTGTGCCAACAACCATTCCTCAAGGAATCACTAAAGGAAACCAATTTTAAAGGCCATAGCAGACCGGGTCCGGGTCGTTTTCCAGGTCTTCCATGTCGCCTCGAGGCGTATGCTCGCAGTCGTTTTGCTTCGCAGGCCGAGATATGGTGAGATCCTACTGCTGAATCTGCTGAGAAATTTGGAGAAGTCAGATCAACCCACTACTAGTACGTATGTATAATTCATATATATATATATATATTATATTATATTATATTATATTATATTATATTATATATATATTATATATTATATATTATATATATATATTAATATTCAGTTTTGTTTTGTATAGATATTATTTATAGTATACAACATGTCTTGACGTAAAATGTACAATTATAATCCATAATCAATTATATACACGGGTGATTCGGGGTACCCGAATCTTTCGGAAACTTCGAATTCAACAGCACCCTTCAACCTCTAGTTCCACGATGCGCCGCGTGAGGTGACCGTGCGACCCTTGCCCTTCGCCGTGGTTGCAGACATTGAGGCGGCTGGTCTAGCAGACGTGGCAGATGGGAATCATGAGATTTGGGGCCAAGTTTCACCGGTTTTCCTGGAGTCATACACGATATCATGGCTCAACTGATATCAACTGATCAATTTATATATAATTATATATATATGATTATTCCTTGTCATCCGCGTGTGATCAATGTCAGTGGATGCTGCCGACTTGATAATGGATGTGTGCAGTTGTATTCCAGGCCGCCATCAACAGGACGAAGCCATGCATTTTTGCTGTGGCCAGCCACCCAGACATGGCTGCGAGAAGAGAAACGTGTTTTTTAACAATTTGGAAATCTCTTCGGAATTGTTGGAAATGGAATGAAATGGACAGAAACTTTAAGCGGTTTTAGATGTTTCTTTAATGTTTCAAGGCCATTTCAAACACACGGGCGGCAGCATCTTGCTCTGTTTGCTCCTTTACACCTTCTTTGCATGATTTTATAATTGCCACAGAGACACAGTCGTCATCATTTTGGTGTATCAAGTTGACTCACGACAAGTGAGTCCTGCATCAGTGACATCGTCTCGCTTTCACACCTCTCCGACTCTCCCAAAGGCACATTCGCATCTGCGTGGTTTGCCAGCCGAGGACGGATTTTTTGGGGTCAGAGGCTGATGGGTCAGTGAGATCCAAGGAACCGCAACTGTGGCTTGATGTTGCTTGATGTTTGATTATTTTCGTATGAACAGTCTGAACATATCTGAACCATCGATTCACTTCGATTCACTTCATTCACTCTTGTCCCATCCCACATGAACGCATTTACTACTGGGATGTAACCTTCTGACACGCTGTATACGCCGAGCTTGAGCGGTTTTGTCTCAGAAAGAGGGACACGAAAGTACCAGAAAAAGGCCATCTTCATCGGGGAAAGTGACACGGGACTTTGATGATTTTGATGGATTGATGGGTTTTGGGGTACCAAATTTTGAGACAACCCACAGTACTACAGAAGATATGCTCTTGACCCGCTTGGCAAAATCTACCCTTGAGCGTGAATAGCGTGAGAGGAGATTAGAGGAAATAGCCTCCCGGGGTGAATTAGATCCTAGTCACGGGTGCTACGGGTGCTCAACTCTGACCATCTTTGGCCTATCCAATGGAGACCAAGTCTTGAAATGCTACTGTAGGAGTTGCAAGATCGCGAAGGCATCATCAATGGCAACACAGAAGCAGAGAACCTGCTGGGATTCACAGATCTGGACAGAGAAATCTTCGGGGAAAAATCTCAATGACGAGAGAATTTTGAAAGGTCTAAACTGAGTCTGAGTCTAAACACGATTAACTCCGATTAACAAATCGGTTTCCTGATTCCTGAGAATATCTTGACCTCAAGCCAGTGAGATTCTGCGATTCTCTTAGGCGCTGTATTCTGCAGAAGCAACCTAAAGAACTTCGAGAGCTCTTGTTGGCAAGTGGCATGATGGAATGAGACCTTTTGGAGGCCAAATCAGGAGATATCAGGGGCCCAGATATCAGTTGGGGAGGGCGCCAGTTGAGGCCATATAGGTCATGCAAACACCAAGGTTTCTTGCTTCAAGTCTGGTGAAAGTTTGCATTCAGAATTGAGCCTCAAAATGTTACCAGAGAACTCAGATAACAGTCGAGATGCCAAGACATCCTGGACTCTCGCGGTGTGACTGGAAAGTCCTGGAAATGCTGGGCCCATGGCCCATGATGCCCCGTTTCATTATCACTCTCAAAATCCGCCTGCTCCAGCAATTTCGGCTCAGGTTTGAGAACCCAGCAAACTTTCATCTTTCATTATATTATCACCATGGCGCCAGTGGCTGTGGTGACCGGCGCCAACTCCGGTCTGGGTCTTGCCCTTGCGGTGAAGCTGGCCAGCAAGCACCGGGTCTTTGCGGGGATGCGCAGTTTGGCGAAGAAAGACTCCCTGATGGAGGCAGCTTCCAAGGCAGCGGTCGTGGAGAATTTGAAGCCAGTGGAGTTGGATGTGAACACTGCAACCAGCTGGTGCTTGAGCGTCCTCCAATTTTTTGGCATTTTAATTCATGATTTTTCGAAGAATTGAGAATGATGATTGGGTTATGTTGGATTATGTTGGATTCATATCCATCCCAGTTGCTAGGAGGCTTTAAATCATTTTACTATATTTATTTGACTAGCATTTTGCCGAGGATGCTTCAGTGGAATCTGGCTTGGTACCTGCATTGAAGGAGGTAGGTCGGGTAGATGTGCTGGTCAACAACGCCGGCTACAGCCAGGCGGGAAGTGTTGAGATGATGACTATGGACGCCATGAAGGCCCAAATGGAAACCAACCTCTTCGGAGTGATCCGCTGCCAGAAGGCTGTTCTTCCCTACATGCGGCAGCAGAAATCTGGGAAGATCATCAACATCTCCTCAGTGGGTGGCATTTGGGGGCAGCCCTTCAATGACATTTATTGCGCCTCCAAATTTGCCTTGGAGGGGCTGGCGGAGAGTCAAGCACCCTTGTTCCGAACCTTTGGTGTGTACGTCTCCTGTGTCGAACCTGGCGCTATCAAGTCAGCTTTTTGGAGCAATGCCCATGTGCCAGAGGCCAGTGCCATGCCGCCAGAGTACATGAAGCCCATGCAATCCACCATGGCGGCCTATGGCAAATCTGCAGGGGCTGGGCAAACGCCAGAGGAGCAGTTTCCAAAAAACAGTTGGTTGATGATTTCGGATATTTGGGGGGTTACGGTATACTGACATATACTGACTTGGTCGAAGGAAGTTTAGAAGTGAAACTTCCGACAATATGGAAAGTTGAAAAGCAGAGGTGAGAAGAGTCAGAAGAGACAAGATCATGATCAGAAGAAAGAAGATGCAGATGCGCGAAAAGGTGGGAAAGTCGTGAAACACTGTGTTTTTCCAATGATTTGTGGCTCCGGTGGGTCGAAAAGTAGGCTCGCTAAAGCGGCGGGTGCGGAGCCAGCTGGCCAGATGAGAGATGAAAAATTGCACGCCGTTGTGGCGCGAAGCACATTTCCAAGTCAAAATGTACAAAACACCTCAGCGTCGGACCACTTTTGGAAGTTGCGATGTCGAAAAAGTGCACGCCGTTGTGGCGCGAAGCACATTTCGAAGTCAAAATGTACAAAACACACCAGCGTCGGACCACTTTTGGAAGTTGCGATGTCGAAAAAGTGCACGCCGTTGTGGCGCGAAGCACATTTCCAAGTCAAAATGTTAAAAACACTAGGGGTTCGGACCACTTTTGGACGTTGCGATGTCGAAAAAGTGCACGCCGTTGTGGCGCGAAGCACATTTTGAAGTCAAAAGTGTTAAAAACTGACGGTCTCGGACCACTTTTGGAGGTTCGGATGTCGAAAAAGTGCACGCCGTTGTGGCGCGAAGCACATTTCCAAGTCAAAATGTTAAAAACACCAGGGTCTCGGACCACTTTTGGAGGTTCAGATGTCGCTTCGCTTCGCTTCATTACGCTGCACTACATTACACTACACTACACTCCACTACACTACATTACATTACACTACATTCCACAACACTACAACTACAACTACACAACTAAACAACTACACAACTACATTGCACTACACTCCACTACACTAAATTACACTCCACTACACTCCACTACACTAAATTACACTACAGTACACTACACTACACTCCACTACACTACATTACACTACACTCCACTACACTCCAGCACACTAAATTACACTACACTACATTACACTACACTACATTCCACTACACTCCACTACACTACACTACAACTACACAACTACACTCCGCTACACTCAAGTACAGCACACTACACTACATTACACTACGCTACACTCCACTACACTACACTACATTACACTACACTACCTTCCACTACACTTCGCTACATTACACTACACTACATTCCACTAGATAGATAGGTAATTAGATGAGAGAGAGAGAGAGAGAGAGAGAGCGATAGATAAATACATAGATAGATCGGTAGGTAGGTAGGTAGATAGTCAGAGAAAAAGAGAGAAAGAGAGGAGACCTCAAGCACTTTTCGGTCCGTCAGTGGCTTCGCTCTGCCATCCCTGATTCACAACAACCAATCTCTCCTATAGGTTTTCTATTTTTGAAACTTCCGCCACCGCCTTGTGCGGTACTACTGGTACCCTTTACATTCTTTATCGTTGGGATCATTTGGGATCTTTGCGGATGATCACAATCCAATACTAGTACTATATATTTGGACAACTCTCCACAACTCTCCAATGGTAATCCCCATCTGTTCCCAGATGTCTCCATGATTCGCTTTGGCCGCTCAGGAGGTGGCAGATGTGATCATGCAGCAGATCATTGAGGCTTCGGCGCCCCCTGTGCGGGTGCAGACCAATCCAACCATTCAGGCGGTCTTTGAAAAGCAACTGGGGCAGAATGTCTCCGGAGGGGCGGCTTTGGAAATGGCCACCAGCCGCTTTCTGGCAGATGTATAGCCTGTATAGCATTGTTTGGCCCTCAAGATTGGGGATACCGAAAGGGCGGTGATTGCGAAAGAGATCTATAAAGTAGCTATCGGTGGCTTGATGTTGGGTCCCCAATTTCAAGACTTCAAAAACGTTCCAAATCTAACAGGCCAAAAGCATCTTTGGCTGGATATGCATGGATATGCGAGCAAAAAGGCGTTTCTGCCAGGCGGTTTCCTGACCTCTTGCGACTCATCCCAAGTGCTGCGGTGCTTTGATGTTCTGTGCATGTGCAGCTATTTGAGCAGCCGCCAAAACCTCCAAGTGGAGATTTAAAGGGCTGTTAAAGTAAGATGGCTCCGCGAAAGCTAAAACCACGTTCGCGAAAGATTCGCGAAAGCTCTTGCGAAGATTTGCTCCCGCGAAAGCTCGGGAAAGAGACTTTCAAGGCTCAAAATCCTGGTTTTAAGTATGTTTGTAGACAGCTTCCTCAGATGTATCTGGATCCATACGGATCGATACATTATTCACAAATTTCTATAGATGTGACCCGAAAATCCGCGAAAGCTTCGCGAAAGCTCCGCGAAAGATCCGCGAAAGCCCTGACTGGCTGCGATGGCCCCCCCATTTGGTGGGGGAGTGGCAGTGCCCACTGAGATCTGGCGCTCGTGGTGTCTGGCTGTGCCCACTGAGATCCGCGGTCGCAGTTGGGGTCCGGCAGTGCCCACTGAAATCTGGCGCTCGCGGTCGAGGTCTGGCAGTGCCCACTGAGATCTGGAGCTCGCGGTTGAGGGTGGGGTGGAGGACGGGGAGGTGAAGGAGGAGGAGGCCACCAGATGCAATATCGATCCAGATGTTGCCACAGTGATAACTGGGGCAAAAAAACTATGTCTGTTGTGCTTGGAATCAAAGGTTTCAAGACGCACTTCACTACGGAAAACGGGGAACTTTTGTCACATGTTTTCCGCGAAAGCTCGCGAAAGTGTATTTCAGACACATGGATGCCGCGAAAGAAAAACCCTGCATCGCGAAAGGTTCGCGAAAGAGATGGCGAAAGGGAAGACAGAATAGAACACAAAGTAACGGGGTTTTGGCAACCGCTCATTTATGCAGTGACTAACAGAATCAACAAAGGTTGCACCATGTTGAAAACCTGTGTTTTAGATAGATGAAACATGATGAAACTACATGTTGATTACTTTCTCCTATTTTCTCCTCGCTTTTTGTAGAAATGCCATTTGAATTCTTGAGATTTCAACGGCAGGCTGGTGCAAACCTTTGGTGCGGCCTTTTGCACAGCTGCAAGAGAAACAGGTTGGTCATGTCCAGACTGTGCCCAAGGTTTATGATGGCTTTGCAAGCACTAAGTGGTTGTGGCTGTTTCGTAAAGTAGGGGTACCCCGAAAAAATCCTAAATGACCTTTTGTGGCAGGATAAAACCTATTTTATGATATATATTATATATAATAATTATACTATGTATAATATATATATATACATGTATGTATGTATTGAATGGGTTTAGCGTACCTCAGGACATGTCCCATATGACTGATTTTACGTGTAGATGAGCAGGTCGACTCGCCTAATCATCAGCGATTTGGTTGTGCGACCATCAAGGCTGGGCTTGGACCAACTGCAGGATGAACATTGGTTGAGAGAAATATTTTGAGCTCAAGTCTCTGTGATATTCTATAATTGTCCTATATAATCAATGTGATTTACTATCTATATCAAGCGTCTGTGTGTAAAAGCGTCTGTGTGTAAAAGCGTTTGTGTGTAAAAACTTTTGTGTGTAAAAGTCTCTCTGTGTGAAGGTGTTTGTGTGTAAAAGTGTCTGTGTGCAAAAGTGTCTGTGTGTAAAAGCTTCTGTGTGCAAAAGTGTCTGTGTGTAAAAGTTTCTGTGTGTAAAAGCGTCTGTGTGTAAAAGTCTCTGTGTGTAAAAGCTTCTGTGTGTAAAAGTCTCTGTGTGTGAAAGTCTCTGTGTGTAAAAACGTCTGTGTGTAAAAGCTTCTGTGTGTAAAAACGTTTGTGTGTAAAAAACTGCTGTGTGTAAAAGTCTCTGTGTGAAGGTGTTTGTTTGTAAAAGCGTCTGTCTGTAAAAGTCTCTGTGTGTAAAAGCGTCTGTGTGCAAAAGTGTCTGTGTGTAAAAACTTCTGTGTGTAAAAACGTCTGTGTGTAAAAGTCTCTGTGTGTAAAAGCTTCTGTGTGTAAAAGTCTCTGTGTGTGAAAGTGTTTGTGTGTAAAAGCGTCTGTGTGTAAAAGCTTCTGTGTGTAAACTTCTTGGTGTAAAAGCTTCTGTGTGTAAAAGTTTCTGTGTGTATAAACTTCTGTGTGCAAAAGCGTCTGTGTGTAAAAATTTCTGCGTGTGAACAACTATACGAAGGATACGATGCAAACTATTGCCTTGTACTTGTAAAATATTAAATATTGTCTTGATACTACTCTTCTCGCCTGTCTAGAATAGATCTATATAATATATTGTCTTGTAATATAGTGTCTCAATACAAACAGCAGAAGACCCTCTCGGGCCATCCGTCGTCTAGTTATGAACTCAACCAGCCAATACCACTGGCTCTGTATTTGGGGTTAGAAAAAAAAGGTTGATAAGTCGAAGAATTTGGGAATCTGTATTTTGATGGTGATGGGTTAGCCTTGTATTGTGGGTCTTTTGGGGTTCACCATGTTTAATAAGATCGGATACTGATATCTTGATATATCACCACTGGTATTCATATTGGATTGAATTTCAAAATGGGGGGATCCCCAAGCCCATGCTAACATATTCTAATTCATATGTTTTGTGGGTACCCCATTTTGTCGCAATTATCCCATTAATTAAGCACATTTGTCTGGATCTTTCCATTTTTTGGTGATAGTGGATGAGATTTTGTTTGTATGAGGTTTCTTTTGGAGCTCCCCATTTATAAAATAACAATCCACTGGATGTGTTTTTATTTGGGGTCTTCACATTTAGGGTGATGGATCTATCCATCAAAATCAAAACCCAAACTGTTTGCATAAATTTATGATTCAAAAACGGATGGGTTCCACAATTATTTTAACATGTCATAAAAGAATCTATCAGCCTACCAGCTCTATCGATTTTGGTCTGGTTGTGACAAGTTGTTGGAGATTTCGCGTTTTTGCATTGCGAGAAAAAAACCATGAACAGGTCTTCTATGATCTTGGTGCTGAGAAAGCGTTCTTTTGCGTCCTTAAACCTTAAGCATTCTCAGTATAGTTTTATTCCCCTTCGGTGCGATCATTCACCTTGCACCGAAAAAACGCACTTTTTCAAGTGAAGACCAGCACAGCGAGCAGTCAGGACGCGCACGATGCGCCACTCGCGCTGTCAGATCCAGAGGCTCTTAGGCTGTGCCAAAACCGTGCCAATTCACACGCGGTTCTAGTCCTTGCCAAGCCTGCAACTCTACAGAGCCGAAGATGCCAGTTCGACTCTTAAAGAGATCAGTTACGTATCAGCCGTCCACTGCGGTTTTGAAGCGACCAAGCAGTTCTTGAGGTGAGCCAAAGATGCTCTTGAAACAATGACAGTTGTGTATCAGCCGTCAAGTGCGGTGCACTTGTCAGGTGACTCTGTAGGACCAACGAGATTGCTTTGAAGCACTCAAGCGCAGACTGGGATATCTCGCAGGTAATTGCAAGTGAGTTGAAAAGGCCGTGGAATCGAAAGGGGCGGATGTGGCGATCTTTGGGACTGGTAAAGGGCTTATCCCTTCCAAGTTGGTGCAACTAGTGGAGTTGTGATATATTTTTGTTTCTGCCGGTTGGAAAGGTTGTTATATAGTGACTGAGCTGCCAAACAATTCGAACTCATCATGTTGCAATATCTCGTTTGCAATTCTTTTTCGCTAAGAAGTTTGGATGTGAGACCTGGATTGTTTGGGGCCGAAGAGGTTGGAATTTACAACTTCGCCAGTAGATGCTGCAGAGACTTTCAGGACCAGCAATTTGTGGTTGTCATTTCTTGCAGTTTGCCAGTCTGAGTGCGTCCTAGGTTTATTTTAGAAACTTTATTTCAAGGAAGCTTGTTGAAAGGGGTCTCCCCACCACAACCAGGACGTTTTGTTTCATGTTGTGGACATGTCCCCTCTGTTCGTTTGTTTCATCCACTTCACGACAAACCTTGGAGCTTTGCTAACACCCTGGGGCTGGAGCTTTGTACCACCGGATGTGCAATGGCGCTGCCAGCAGGTGTCAGAAGGCAAACGGCGGCATGGTATTTTGATGTGTTTCTTGCAAGTACGTAGAAAGCCAGCGTTTTTTAAATAGAAAAGCTGTCTGGTCATTTTCCATAGCAATGTTAATTTGCTGTAGGGTAAACCCTGTTTTCAGGTCTGAACAAACATATAGGTGTGGCATCGGAGCGATTCGGTTTGGTTCGGTTTATATTTCCGGTTCACCAACCGCAACTGCAACCGGAACCACAACCACAAGCACAGCAACAACCACAAACCAACAAGAACAACAAGAACAGCAAGAGCAGCAAGAACAACAAGAACCACAAGAAACACGCACGCACGATAACCACAACCACAGCCGCAAAGGATCGCAAGAACATGCAAGAACAACAAGAAGACCACAATTGTTTGTGTTATGTTGGGGGTGACATGCTGCAAATATCGCGGCAAACGACAGGTTGAAGTTCCAAAATGCAAAATCCAACGTCCATGTTCCAAAATACCGCAAATACCGCGCAAAACGAGAAACCCAATGTCAAAAACAGTGGAAACACATGGAAACACCTCGCAAAATGAAAGATGGAACATCCAATGCGTTGCAAGTAGCAAGGAAAACAGGGACAAGAGGAAACCCAAAAAGTCTCCCAAACTGCAAAGAGTTCCTGAAACATTCTGTAAGGTAATGCACATGTGATGTGATGTGATGTGTTGTAATGTGTATAATATGTGTGCAAGTAGATGCAAGTATATATGAAGAAAAGAGTCAAGTCAGTGACAGCGATTGGACAAATACACGAAAGAATGAGTCTCTGAGGAAATTCTTCT